TTAGGATGGTGCTGACTGCTTAAATAAACTACTTAGGGATTACTACAAGAACTTGGAACTTTAAGGTCTCGGCATAATGGGTACTCAAATTGATTTTGCATATTCAGGGGGTTAAGGTTGTCAGGACGATATCAATTTTATCAAAATTTTCCCAAGTTTTTCTAACATAGTCTAAACATCCTATATACTTTCAGAGTACCATGTCATGAATCGAAGCAGAAATTTTGTTGGAGGTTAAAATTTTGAAATTTCGGGGAGATTGAATAACAAGCGAAAACCACGCATAAAGACTCGACAGCACATGCAAATACTTTGACATAGCATTAAAAGTAGATAAAAACAATAAATCAAACTAAAAGGCAATAAAATGAAAGCGATAGAGTTCCTCCCCCACACTTAAACCAAACATTGTCCTCAATGTTTTAGTAAATGGTGGAAAAGGAAAGATAAAACCTGTATGAATGTTACTGATCTTGCTATCCTTGTCTTCGTTGATCACTTCTACTTCGGCGGCGGGCATTTTGAGACACTTTGTTTGTGTAATTCTCGAACCAGCTCATCATGTTGCTCGCCTCCAGAGGAAGTACTCATCATCAGTGTCCCCACCAGCAGCGACACTCGTAGGAATGTCCGTGGGTATAGCTCATCTTCTCAGATCGTCATCTAGAGATTTTTCGCCTAGAAATAGCTAAAGCGTAACAAGCGATACATTTCTTTATTTTCTGCAAATTTAAACAAACAAATTAAAATAAAGACCTTGTGGGTTGCCTCCCACACAACGCTTTGTTTAGCGTCGATAACTCGACGGCTAAGGAGTGCAAGTACTCATGGCGGTTCTTTCGAGAATGGTTCCTCGATCGAACTTTGAATAGTCTTCGATTTCCATGGCCACTTATCAAGCCATCTCTCATATCCCTCACCTTTTCGTTTCTTTCTTCTGTATGGTGGTTCCTTGTTTTGAACGCGTGGTGGTGGTTCTGGATCTATCCTGCGTATCAGCTTTTCAAATTTGGGCATAGTTATTTCATCCACCACCTCAAAAGTTAATCGTACCCTTTTAACAGTAATAATGACCTTAGTTTCACGGTCCTCGAATTTTCTTTTCCTATGAGGGACCTTAGACAAAGGTGCATTGGTGTGGGTATTTTCCAGTACCTCCACATGTGTTTTGGATTGGGAGTCTACCCTGGCTTCCGCAACCAATTGTGAGAAAGAATTAGGTGGGGTATAGGGAGGAGGAGCAGCAATGGGTGCTTCCTTCTCTACCTCTTCGACAACCTTCTTTTCGGGTGGTTTCGGTGGATTTTTCTCAATATTTGTGCTTTTCTCACCAAAACTCTCCTCGGACTCATCATCACTCTCCCTAAGATTTTATATTTGTTCTTTATTACTGGTTGTTACAACATTCACATGGCCTTCTGGGACGGGTCCTAAAGGTGTTTGTCTAAGCAGGGAGGTTTGTGCCTCCAAAGCCTCGCTGTGAGTTGCGAGGGAATCGACAATAACGTTCATTTGCTTAAGATCTTCATTAATTTGGAGATGTTGTTTTCTAAAGTCTTCGTTTTGGAGAGTTTGTGTCTCCACAAAACGCTCCATCATAGATTCTATCCTAGAGTGAGTAAACGTCTCTTCGAATTCTTCTAGTAATAATTCAAGGTTGGACGTGTCGAATTCTTGCGTTTCCTCAGAATATTGGGAGTGGTCATCATAGAGGGAATTTGGTCGAGAATGCGTCGTATTGAAATCTTCTACTAATATTTCGAGGTCAGATTTAAGCGGATCTTGTGGTTCCTCAAAATACTGGGGGTGGTAGCTATAATAATGGGGATGGTAGTTATAAGGGAAATTTGGGTTATACATAGTAATTGATGATAAGAGTGCCTTAGTCTATACTATGCAACAATGGAATCACAATATTGATTGTTGGTCCCCGACAACAGCGTCAAAAACTTGATGCGTCCGCAAGTGCACGGAAATATCGAAGTAATATAAAAGATTGTCGAACCCACAGATACCAATGTCAATCTACCGTTATCTATTATTACGGCGTAAAGTTAAGGCTATTGGAATTAGGAAAGTTGAATGCGAATGAAATTAAATGCAAAGAAATAAAGATAATTGGTTTATGGAAAGGATGGTAAAGGGATATCGGTATGCAAGGACTTAGTTATCGGGGATTCGACAGGTCACCGGTGCTTTCTACTCTTTGCAAACACTTTTAAGAAGAAAATAACGGTTTAAAGACCTTTGTCTCACGATGGTTGTTGACGCTAGTCGCAACTCTAAGGCGGAGCGTATGCTGTCGCTATTCCGTTCGGGGTTGAAATTACTTTTTGAAAACCATTAAGTTCTAATCCCTTTTAAAGCGTTGTCGCTGTTTTTAAAAGGAATGCCTAGTTTTTACTATCTGGTCTTAGCCGCAGCTGTCGCTTGTTGGTTCGTACCTTAATATGGTTTCCCACTGTCGTGGCAAAACCACCGTAAATAGCTTCTCACTGTCGTGACAAAGGTTTATTTAGAATTTAGATTAAAAACTACGGCCAGAAAGATTGTTTGTAAAAAGGGAAGATGCCGGTTACTATCGAATCCTATCCTACTAATTCGGTTACATACCGATAAAACTAACTTAGCTAGACATGATAATTAATGCAAAAGGAAATAAACATAAACAACAGAATAGTAAAATATGCATTATGACATAAATAAAGTAGTAATTTAATTAATAAGAACCTGGAAAGTAGTACTAATATTGAAAAGTAGTCCTCCACAATGTCGGCAGGATTCTACTTTGGCCAATTGGCCAAATAAAATTGCAGAAAGAAAAATACAAAGCTCTGAACAGAAAGGGAAAAAGGAAAAGAAATAAAAGTAACAATGACTTCAATAGAACTTTGGCAGTCCTTCGGGATGAAGAATCCACCCCCCTTTTCTCTGTGAATCTCTTGTCTATTTATAGGAGATATTTCATTCTTCAACTTCCAGAGATCATGGGTGAGTTATGGAGGGAGTGGGAGTAACTTCCAGTAGTGGGCAGTGAGTGGAGAAAGTGTAGGAAGAAATTAAGTTAAGATTGATCGTGACTTCAGATTCTGCGTTTTTGTCTGCATGACGGTCGTCACCCGTGTGACGGTCGTCAGGACTGTGTGACGGTCGTCACAGCAGCAAAATCCGTATCTGCTGTTTTTCATCTGTTTTCCTTCCATTTCTTCTTCTTTTCTTTCTTTAGTCCAAATTCTCCCCAATCTGCTAAACAGAGTGAATTAATCATATAATAGAACATAAATCAAGATAAATTAATAAAAGTCACAAATAAATGCATGTAAATCAAGCCAAATAAACGATATGATTTCGCGTTATCACTTGACGATTCATAAAAATTAAATTCGAGAACCGAATCAAACCATTTCGATTTTCATCAATTTTGTTTGGTTTTTGAACTGATCTAGAAAAATTGATTTTATTTTCGATTTAGTTTGATTTGGATCAATTTAATCGGTTTTTTCTAATCTCACTCACACTCTTACCAAAACAAATGATTCATTTTAATTTATAATATAAATTAATTTATTTTTTTTCAATTATATCATTTAATTATTATTATTGTCATCACTTCCGATCTTTGATAATACATATTTTAGTAATAACATCCTTCTCTCTTTTATTTTTATATTTTTTAATAGGTATGAAATGATAAACCGAATTGGAACAGAGTGATTTAATTATAATCATAATAGTTAATAGTTTAATAATGATAGTGCATTTCATTTCGCCGTGTTAAATTAAAGTACATGAATCCAAAGATTCTCGCTTCCAATTTACAATATTAATTAGTATTCCATACTATTTGTATGATTTTTCTTTTTTCAATTACTTTTATTTTACATTATTTTAAAGTTTTTTTTTTCCATATTTTTTTTTCCTTTATCTGCGTAATACTTCATCCATTTTAGTTTGTATAGTCTTTAAGATATAAATTAATACAAATTATTATTTTTTATTTAAAAAGTTATTAATTTATAAATATTAATAATTTATTTATATTAATGTATAAATTTCGTAAAAGATTAAACTCTAAACTTTACTAGTTTACACCCATTTAATTTAACTAACATTTATAAATTAGCTATTTCACCCACTCAATTAATATTATTTATATGTTCATTAAATAATTTAAATACTTAACTTATAATTGAAATTAAATATATTAATCATTTGATGAATTTAAAATATAAAATATTTATTTATAATAATGATCAAAAGAAAATAAAACTGAGCTGAATAATTTAAAAATTCTAAAAACTTAAATTTAGGTAAAATATAAAAATAAAAAATTTATTTAGTTATAAAAATTATTTTATAGAATCAAACTACCATAAATTCTTTTGACAAAAAGGGAAAAAACTATATAAAAGTATATACAAAAGTATATATAAAAATAAATAATATAATATTTTATATATAATATTATAAATCATATAGTAATATATTTTAAATGAAATACACTTTTTATTCTTTAACTATACCTTTGAATTTAGATTAGTCGCTTAATTTTTTTTGTTCGATTGATCTCTTAATTCTTAAAACTTGTTATGTTAATTTTTTTTTGGTAGTGTAGCGAAGAATTTGGTGACCAATTTTAAATTTTTTTTACCATTCATTAAACGTAAAGGACTAACATAACATATTTTAAGAGTTAATAGATTAATCTAAATTCAAGAATATAATTAAATGATAAGAAGAATATTTTAAGTATATTTTATATAAATATTAGAAAATTGGTTTTAATTAAAGTAAAAATAAAAAATAAAAAGTATGCAAAAATTAGTGTATGAATTTTCCTAGTGGAAAAAAGACGCGACGACCCGAATACGCGAACCAAATCTTTTTATAATGAATCTGAATTTTGTTCCTTTCTTTATTTATTATATATAAATGAATCTCTATCTTCTTCTTTTCACCTTCGTTTTCACTTTCATTCATTCATTCCAAAAGAAAAAACTATGGAACTGAACTTGGATTTGACTTTAGCCTCGGTTCCCAAAACCGTTTCTCATTTCCTCAACGAAGTTTCTCTCACCAAAGACTCGTCTCAGAAACTTTCAATGCTCGATGACTTGGTTCGTAGATTGGAAGAAGAAATGAACAAAGTGCTCGCTTTCAAACGCGAACTTCCTCTCTGCATACTCCTCGTTAACGATGGTGATTTATTTGTTAATTTTGAATTTCACTTATTTGTTATCAATTTTTATTGATTTTGTTGTTAATTGACGTGTTGATGAATGATGATTGATTCAGCTATTGCAAGATTGAAGGATGAAAAAGAAAAAGTTAGGTTAATCAAAATGCGAGATCCAGTTTTGGTGAACGAAAACTCTGATAATAAGATGAATTGGATGAGTTCAGTTCAGCTTTGGACTAATCAGACAAAATCGGTAATTCTCTTTTTTTTTTTATTCTGATGATAATTGTTGTAGTAGTTTTGATTTTGATTGAATTGAGAGAAAAATTGGTTTGATTTTTTTCTGTAGAAGAATGAAGATGGTGATAGGTCTGTGTCACAGAAAAGTAATGGTGGAGGGGTATTTATGTCATTTAATGAAAATACTCCTACTCGTGTTCCTTTGAAGGAGGTTTCGCAGGTTCCGAGTTTTAGTTTGGTGTCTGAAGTGAGTCATGGAAATTCTAAGAGTGGTTGTGATCGAAGTAGTTCTGGTTCGTCTTTGTTGCGCGTTGAGATACAGAATCAACAGCCGCAGCCACCTCAGCCTTTGCTGCAGAGTTCCAGGAAACAAAGACGAAGCTGGTCGTCCGAGCTTCATCGCCGTTTTGTTGATGCTCTTCAACAGCTTGGTGGAGCACATGGTAGATTGTTTGTGTTCAGTTTTATTCTTTTGCTTGTTAATTGTGTGTTGTGCGTGTGTGGTGTTTTTAATTTATTCTGGTGTAGGATTTTTCTTAGTCTCAATTTTATTTTGGATTTGAGAATAGAGTTGTTTGTCCAAATTGGAATTGAAATTGTGGGTGTAGGAAGTGATAGATTCGCTGAAATTGAAAAACATAGTTAATCATATCAGTTGTTGTATGGAGATCACACAGTTTTATAGATGTAAAAATGTCCGATCTGCATCAAACGATAGAGATCGCAGCTGCAGGAATCCAATTCTTGTATGTGGGCATTGAGATTAATTTATGCTTAGTATAGTCACTCAATTGTCTGAAGTGTCTAATCAAGATTGAACGACTCGTATTTTAAGTTCGGTAAATCAAATTTGAAGTAATATTTAAAACAAACTCAAAAATTTTGATTGCTAACTATGTGGATTTTCCGACTTTACACAGAATATGTAAGGTGTGAGCCTAATTGGTTTTTATTTTTTTGTAGCAGCCACTCCTAAGCAAATTAGGGAAAAGATGCAAGTGGATGGATTAACAAATGATGAAGTGAAAAGCCATTTGCAGGTGACTAACAGTATTTCATCTCAAAACACTAAACCTTATTATAACCATGATTAAGAACATTATTAGTTTCTGCATATTTGTATCTTTTATTAACTGTTATGTCATGTCAAAAACTTATGCAGTACATTTGTATGGTTATGTAGAAATACAGGCTTCATGTTAGAAGATTCCCAGTTTCTTCTATTGAGGAGGCTAATAAACTAGCCTTATATATGATCCAAGATCAAGATACATCAAAGGGAAATTTATCAGAGTCTGTTTCACCACAGGGTCCTCTTACTCCTATTCTCATTGGAGGATCTGTTAAAGGTCTCTCGAGCCATGGAAGAAACAGCGTGGATGCAGAAGATGAACAATCAGATTGCAGGAATTGGAAAGATGATCAGGAGCAGCAACATGAAGCTGAATAATCAGAGTTTCTAAATTTTTGCAGATAATATAATATAATAAAGCATAGCATATAGGTGAAGGCTGAGAATTTAACATCATAAAAATATTATATATCTAACAAAGGTAACTACAGAGAGATTGAGTTTTATGCCATAGTTTTTTTCCCAATATAACTATGCTATGGTTATTTTAGACTGTTGTGGAAAGAGCTGTTCAAGGAGGTTATTGTTGTAACTAGTGCCATTTTCATAGATGAATTTTCATTCATGTTCTGAGCTTAATTTCTTTATGTTATAATTTGGCTTTTAGATGTTGGATTTTGTGTAAAGGGCACACAATATGGAATCCACCTTAGAATTTTCCATTTTGGATTTTGCAGTTATTCGAGTAACACTTCCATGAAAAGGTACATGGATTGGTGCTATCATATATGTTTTTGTCTCATGAAAAGGAAATTGTTGAGTGGACAAAATTCATGTGTTGTTCTTAGCCATCCATTCATGTGCTAGCCATCAATGTTTATTTTGGGATATCTTACCCATACAAGTTTTTCTACTTCAATTATCTTAAAGTGCAAAATCTGTCGCGTACCGTTTGATAGCATTGGAATATTGATAGATATTGTGCTTGAATTTTATGAAAATTAACGTGCTTTTCAGCATTTTGGCTGGATCTTATTAAGGATGACACATAAAGTGTCAGAATATTTCAAGCAGCATATAAGTTGTCGTTTGTCATTTTTTTAAAGTAATGATCCAACTTTACGGTATTCTTTTTAATGGAAATTTTGGTTTTAATGTTAGCAAAAATATTAATTTTCATGTCTCAACACTGTAATGTTCTTTTTATGCACGATTCAATTCAATTAAGGGAATTTTTTTAACCTAAATATCTCATTTTTAAAATAAAAAAATCTAAAATAACTCAAATTTCAAATTATTTTTTAAAGTACCTCAGTTTGGAATACTGATTGAGTGAATGCGCCATACCAATTAGCGACCTCTTACGTAGGTCAAGAGTTGTCGCCAATTGAATTGGAGACACTACATAATGTTGTCATCCAATGGACACCAAAATGCAAAGTTTTAAAGGTTTTCGTCAATTTAATTGGAGATAGGGTAAAAAGTGAGGAAAAAAACACAAGAGGATATAATTAGGGTTTTGCTTGTTTGTCTTATTTATATAACTCTTTGTGTAAAAACGCAAAAAACAAAAAACACATCTACATTTTTTGGATGCGCCGTTTTGCTCAAAGCATGGGGTTGATTTAGATTTTCATCCCTAGTGCCCGTTAACCACAACAGATTCTCATTCTCGCATGCACAAAAGTAAGTTAATAACTTAATATTAGTTAATTCACCTCACTAATTATTATGTCTAACTAATTTATTTAAACTTTTTGTTGTTTAGATACTCGGCTCGCAGTATGAGTTACAATAGATGTCCTAAACATTGTATCATTCAATACCGCAATCTCTTGGATAACCTTACACTTGGAGATGCAAGACCACTAAATGAATCAATTTAGTTTTTATATCACCCATTTTATGATCTAATATTTTTCTCTTCTATAGTCCATTTGGCGTCCATATCTAAATATGGAACACCTACATGAAGTCAAAGAGGAAGATGCAACCATTTGGACTGCATGCGTGTCGATCATCAGATTCATCACTACGGAAATGCACCACAGTAACTGTGTCAAACTACAATTTGGAATGCATCAAAACATCCCAAATCCCCCGATTGACCTCGGTAAATGGCATCTACAAAAAGTTAGTGATTAATGGGACTATCCCAACTGGAAAGAATTTGCTAAATCTGAGTGTCGTAAATGGAGGAACCACCACGCCCATGTCTTACGTGACCCGGTGATGGCAATCCCGTCTATACGAAGTAATACTTATATGTCTTGGTACATGTCGATTGCAACTCCGAAGAGAGTTATATATATGACCCCTGACAAATCACCTACACACAAGAAGCTTCAACGTCTAACCCACTAGGAAATTATCGGACATGTTACTCACAACCCCCTACCCAACAAAATTATCAACCCACAAACACACAAAGCCACCATCCAAACATGTTAAACACCCTACCACAATACCAAAAGTGTCCCTCATACCATCTCCAACAAAATGACTATTATCAAGACACCCAAAATGCATATGCCCCCAACACGTCACCAAGATATAGTCAAAACGCGCAAACATCATACCATAGCCTACACACACAAACATCACAACAACCTTATGGCTTTCAAACACCAATACCTTTTCAACCTTTCACCAATGAAGCCTTCACACCAATGTCCCCTTTCAATCATTCAGGCCACACACCAATGACCCCTTCATCACATCTCAACTACTATGACATGGGTTGTAAGCTCAGTTTCAACACACAAGACTTCTTGGAAATACAAGAAATTCTTAGGTATTCTGTTGGGAATGTTCTTGAGACCTAAAATTCTCAAACACTTGTAATGAATCAACAACGAGGGCAACGAGGATAATGAGTGGGGGTGCCTAGGGGATATGGAACCGGTGGCCGGAATGATAAACCGGGCCGCCAACATTAATTTATGTAATATTATTTTTAATTAAATATTAATGTTATTTATTTATGTTTAAAAGTTGCACTTTCCACCTTGTCTCCAAATGAATTGGCAACAACGTTTAAGACTTTGCATTGTGACACCAATTGGATTAACAACACCATGTGGTGTCTCCAATCCAACTAGTGACAAATCTTGGCCTTTGTAAGGGGTCGCCAATTGGTATGACGCCTTCACTCAATCAGTACCTCAAAGTGGGATACTTTGCGAAATAATTTGAAAAGTGAATTATTTTGGTTTTTTTTTTTTGAAAAAGTGGGGTATTTGGGTAAAAAATTCTAATTAAGTTATACAAAAAAATATTTGTAGAGTAACCGTGTTTAAATATGTATGGAAACTCACACTACCATCATTAATTTAAATTGTTCAAAATCGATTGCACACTAGACATCATAACCTCTCTGTTTTGGATCAGTAAATGCACTGCAATCAATATTCAGGCTCAAGTATCATTGTCACAATGTTTCTAAAGCGCTTACCTTAAAGGCGGCAGTGATGGGGGAATTTAGTTACCATGCGTTCTATTTCATATTTGAACAAGAAATAGTTGAAATAGGTGATTCAAAATCTCAAACCGATGTTGCTGATCTTTGATATGGCAGTGCGAAATAGATCTGCAAGGTTAGAACTCTAAGTACAAGTCAGTCTAATATTCAATATGATTGTAGTGAAAATGGATAATAGAAAGTGTACATTGTTTTCAGTTTTGGATGACTTTTATACCTTAGGTCAAGTGGAGTGAATTTGAGCCTTTGGCCAACCTAGAACAGTTACCCCAAGACTTGTCGGGAGCTTAGGGAGTCAGGGAAGCCTTTAGTGGTTGAGGTCATCCTCTAATGACATTGTTTGATTCGAACTAGAAGTGAAACGCTTTGAGTCAGTTGAAAAGGCAGAGGGAGAAGGCGCACTAAATGCATTTCCATCACTGAAACGTTTAGTCGTTTCTTTCTGACGTGTGATTTGAAATGACCAGTTAGGGCATGACACTACTTATAGTGCACTCTAATTTGCTTGCATTTCCAAGGGTGATCTAACCTTTGATTCCGTAACTCCTTTCCTCTGCTGATTTGGATTGTTCAATCATCTTTGTCTATATATAAGAGGAGTTTAGTGCTTAGGAAATTTTTTATAATCCTTGACATTCAAGTTCATTCATAATCGTTCTTATTAGCAAATGTTTTATTTTCTTCATTCTTGAGAGCACTTTATCAAATCAGTTGCAGCTATCAGCCCCAAAGCGTTCACCTTTCTTCCTTACTTCACTTCATCAACCTCATATAATTAGGTATCCTTCTCAACTTAAGCTTTTACCTTTAACATTTCCTATTTTATACTCTGTATGAGTGATAGCCTTACTCTCCAAGATAATGATTTTGAATGTAGTGTTTCTTCTGCTACGGGAATGAGAGTAGCTCCTTATTCAAGTTTCTCTTTCCTTACTCGCGATTACGTTGACCACGAAGTTGTATCCTTGACCGATGATTCTGATTCAGAAAGGGTGTCTGGGAACTCCCGCGATGGGAGAGCATCTTTGCTGGATTCTTTCAAGGCTCTTCTGTCAGATGATGATGGCAAGGAGGATTTCATTGAGGTCCTCATTCCCTTCCCATTCTAATCGTAGAAGAAATACAAGCAACTAAGTTGATGATAGAACATGCTAACAATTTTGTATATATTTATTAGAGAACCAATAATTGTGAACCAAGCGACGTTGAAATTAGAGCCTATTGGGAGTGTCGGAGTAAGTCATACATAGTAGTCTATTAGATCAAGCTCGATGAGCATTTTAAAATTGCCGAAATATTCTAGAAGAGAGTGACACTGGTGGAGTCAGTCGATGCAATTAAGTACGACTATATGGTTGTAGAAATGGTGAGGACCCCATCCATTCTGAATACTATATCAGCTATAAATGTTGTTGATATCACGACCAGAGACCCATTGGGTTAGTAAGTCCTCCTTGTAGGTTCATAAAAAAAGACACAGAGTTCCTTTCACAATTACTTTTCCCGGCTTTATGAATGTATGTTTACCGGGATAAGACTGTGGCTGCCTTTCTCTGACTTCGAGGTGGCCGTCTTGAAGCACTTGAAGGTTTCCTCGTCCCCGCTTCATCAGGGGGTCTGAACTTTTATAAAGGCGTACCAGCTTTATGCTTAGCATAACTCGTGGAAGTCTTCCTTTATTTTATTCTTCAACTTAATCTATATGGTATGCACCTCCCGGGATGACACCCGTGATCAATGGGTCATTTCTTTCCACCCGGATGATCCTTGGTTTAACCTTTTCATCAGGGACTGAGGCAATATTCTGAGGCACTAATTGTTGGTGAAAACCCTCACTCCACAGGCCCATCCATCTTTCATCTATTCTCCAGCTACAACTTCTTGTTTATGTAAAAGC